AGCCCTCTCACTTTTCTAGGGAAACATTTCCGTCTCAGAAAACCAGTCAGCATAGGCTATTGGAGAGGCTTTGTCGTATAGGAACATTGTGCTAAGTGCATGGGACGGATAAGCATCCCCAAATCAAGACATGCTCCCCCGACAATACTGAGGCTTTCTGGGGCGGTAAGGGTTTAGTAACTACGGGAATCAGGAATTGAATGTTTTGATTTGTTCTCGGAATGACGCAATTGAGCATTTTGTGTACCCTATGATTCTGCTCCTCCAGAAACTGTCGAATCGGGGTCCAGATGCCCAGAACAATTGACCAATCGACGGCGTAGGACATGTTTGTACCCGCAGTTTCATTCGAGTTGTGAAATGGTGAGGCAATTGTTCATACTATACAATCAGTTGTATTCATTATGCAGTACACAAAATATCACATTTGATTCGTTGGGGTGAAAATTTGTGTAAGCGATTGACTTTCAGTGATAATGTGACGCCCGCGGGTTTGACTCCCCAGGTCCAAACATTTGTGGACTACATTTTTTTCGTTTTGTTACAGCTATGCACACTCGTACGCCGGTTTTGGTTACTATTTTTAGATACCCATTTTTTGTATAAAGCAACCACGAAAAGACAGACAAGTTGAAAGTGGGGTAGAAGAGAAAATGGTGAGTTTAAGTGGACTAAGATTAGGAAGATATTGAGAAGATGCGTGAACGTTACTGTTCACGACACTCGACCAGATAACTCAGTGTCTCAAACCACCGGTTACAATCATCCAGAGGTTTCCAGCCGGGGAACATAACGCGACCTATATGACCCAGTGTTCTGGTTAGGGTTTCATACCTTCGTGCCAGGTCTTATTTTTACCACCCTTGGCCTTTCTTCCATCCACTACCTACCTCAGCAAACATCGCTCGCCGTGGCACCCTATTTAGTGACATGCGTAACACATGCCCCAACCAACGTAATCGGTGGAGGTCGACCGTTTGCACCCATAGGCGACCGCGGTCACCCAAAACTCTGCGCCTAACCTCAGCATTGTTCGTTCGGTTTCCGCACCAGAATTGTGCGATGCTGAGGAGACAGCGGTATTCAAACATCGACAGTGTATCTTTATCCTGTTTTCTTTATAGCAAAGTTTCTGCACTGTATAGCAGAACTGACCGAACTGCCGCAGCATATACCTAACCCTTCACAAACAGCCGGATTTCTCGACCGCGCCACGGATGTCTGAAGTTGGCGAATGCCAATCGAGCCTTCTGTATGCTTGCGGACACTTCATCCGTGATGTGTCCACCGGGTGAAGTAAATTTGCCTTAATCGCAAAAATTGCCCACTTGTCCTATTACTTCCCCAGTTAGAGTGAGAGGTCGAGGCTGAACCAAATCAGTCTTGTAGCAGCACTTTACACTTTGAAGGTGCACAATGCATACCGAGCATGGCTACGCTAGCTGGTACTCTAACTATCTAGTACGATTTGTAAATGATCTGGATCTTCACGTGGTAGCACAATGTGGTCTGCATACTCCAAATCTACTCATAACTCTTAATTCATCCAGATCCACGTTGATTACTGCGTGCATTTCAGCTTTCCTGCAGTAATGAACTGCGTAGCAGCTTATAAAGCAGTGGATCCAAAGATGCCCTTGCAGCTGCACCTAGTTACTGACGGTTTCACCATCTTTCGCAGCTCTTATGCCATCAGTTCTTTCCCGTTCTTGGACAGTTACTGCAGCCACCAGCAGACGATTCTGTTATTGTTGTGATGTGCTGAATCGTCACGGGTCTTGCTGGCTTCCGATATGTCTCGTGTTATTCAGTCCCAAGTCAAGAGTTCGATTCAGAGGAGCAGCCTTTAGAAGACTGATATGTACCTAAGACTCATTTGTTCGAGGTGTATTTATTCAGGGAAGAGCGAAATGAAAGCCATTTGAAAGTTCCTAGATCCACCCATACTGCAACGGTTAGCAAACCTTCAGTATCACACGGACAAGTGGATGTATCTCATCATCATGAGTGAAACGCCTTTTCAAGTTCTTTGTCTGGTATATTGACACTGATAACATAAAACACATGTACAGTCCCATTGTTCCATGGATTGTATTGATTTAACGCACCAGAGCTATCAACTTCTTAATTGCATGCTCGCTTTCACTTTTTGAAGGTTTGTTTATGTACACACTTCGACTTCTATAACCTATAACCATTCGTGGAAAACATTGTGATGCGTGTTCAATTATCAGAAAAGAGCAATGCGTCCAAGAAGGAACCCGTATACATATATAACTGCATTTTAGGGTTTATACCAATTCCAAGATAACAAACTATAAACTCGTTGCAAGTTGGAGTAAAAAACATTTTGTTTCGCAGCAAAACTCCACTTTTAACCAGGTCGTTCTTGTGTTTCCAACCCGGTGGATAGATTACCTCATGATACAATCTCTTTTCTCATTTACCTGCTGTTATAGAATAACTTATACCAACCGTTTAGTTAAACGATTCCACTTGGACCATCCGAGTCAAACCGCATCATCAATGTGGCCAATGTATTTTATTCTTTCTTCCTTTTCGTTAGTATCGTACATAAAAGGGATTTGAAAGTTGCATGTCAAATCCGGCGGATGTATTCAGAACCCGCTTACATATTACTCTCGTTCCCCAGAGAGAAGCAGTCCTTAAGACCAATCAGTCTTCTTCGCATCCTTACCTATCTCCTTTTATTGCCCACAGAATGATGTAGTTTTCAGGAATAGGTAGTGACCAACCAAAGGACCGTCAAAGAACACAGAAATTGAGGAAAATCAGGTGGTGGTGGCGTTGGTGGTGGTGGTGGCGGTGGTGGTAGTGGTGGTGGTGGTATTGGTGGGATTTGAACACACGTCCTCCGGGTCGACAGTTTGATGACTTTTATCACTTGACCACCTTTGATAATCCTAGCTTACAGGATGACGCAAATCACGGGGGCGACACGTTGCAGTTTCTGGACAACTGTGATGAGCCAAGCTTTCCAACTGAGGCCAGCAAAACGCCTATACGTTACAGGTTCTGGAAAAAGAACCATAAGCCGATTATGCCGACTAATCAGAATTCGTGCGGCCCAAACCGAAACTGTACGACGTCAAGAATACAAGCGCGCGATTGACACATACCTGGATAACCAACAAACTTTTTTTGTACATCTTATTTGACCCCTTTGATTTCTTCCAATAAGTGAACTGCTACTTCTGTGGTTTTTTCCTTGCGTACTGGCTACTTAGGATACCATCGTGTGATTCAGTGCTTCCTTGGAGTCCGTGATTCCTAATGGGTGATTCCGCGAACTGTGCATACTTCAACCATTACACCACTACCACCCGGTGATTATCACCACACTGGACACAGCCATCTATCCCTCCTTGTTCATGACTCAAACTTATGCCTGTAGGATGAAGGGACTTTTTCTGGGCGATTTGTGTGCGTAAAATGGGTCCTATTCCAGCCGACGCTGCACCTGTAACAGACTTCGTCCTTGCTACCCTGTTATTTGCTTTTATCGTTTACCTGGTCATCTCATACCGTCCAGTACTATCTGATACGGCGATTGATCTTCCAACCACCACGAGTGTTCGTGTCTTCTTAGCCAACTCTTTATTAGGCGGTCACATTCTAAGGGGTCCCTGGGAATCTTAGTTTATACCTCGTGTGTCTATAGACACATGAGGTTCGATTAGTTTATTTCCTAATGCTAGTATTCGGTCATTGAGGGTTTAAAGCTTGCCATTCTAAAAACTCGCTCGTTCAGTCCGGGTTAAAGTGCGAAAAAAGGTGTACCATTTTTGCACTCTGGGCGCACTGGAGTCGCACTCTGGGGGCGCTTTTTCTGGCCTGGTATTGGCTTCCTTGCTCTGGGTATTGTATGAAAGCAGGAGTTGCGGATTAAACTAAAGAAGAAATAATAAGTAAAATTAGTACATAATTATTCGAATCTTTTCTGTCTTTTTTTTCGGCCATCAACAAAATTACAGATAGAGAGACACAAGTGATGTAATAATAATGTGAGGTGAATTTCGGGGAGGAAGTATTAACAATTTTAAAATCCTTCAGGTTAAAAATAAATAAACAAACAAACAAACAAGCACACTGGTTCTTACACACATACGGATTTAGTCCTGTGTATTTACACTGGGTGAGCGAGACTTTCTGTTCCCACATATATATATATATATCTCGTGTCCAACGTGCAAGATGGCACACAAATCACAAAAAAATTTACTGAAAGAAATTTTCATCCGTGTTCTCGGTAAAGTACAAAGGCGGATTGAATAGTTACGAATCGAAATGTGGTAAACACAATGACCAACTGGGTTCAGAACACCAAAAGAAAAATAAAGTTTCTCACTGTGAACGAGGGAGAGTTGTTGGAGTAGGGGGCCAGTGGATTGGCCGGGGGACAAACCGGTTTTGCCCCACCCACCCCGAGCCTCATAACAATTTCATTCAAAAATCCGATTTTCAGTGTTTGTTCACTGATAGAATGGAGCTCGAAAAAGTGAAACAAATCTGCACGGTGTAACAGGCTGGGATATTTTTCGTTTTATTTGTCTGACGTTCGATTTCTGTGTGGAATTTGAAACCGGGATTCTGAACGAGGAGGAGGAGGATGGATGATTATTTTACACGTGGATCGTTTCTGGTTCCATTGGTTAACATTTTCATCATCATCATTGATTAGAAAATATTCATTTGAACGAGTAGTTTGTCATCGTGTTTTTATCTGTTATTAGATGTAGGTACGCAGTATATCATTGTATTCCATGCTCCTTAAATTGGTCGTTCCTTGGAGTAAACCCTGTTTCTGGATGGTTCCCGCGAACCTTGTTGAGCCCAACGTGAAGTCGGACGTTGTGTTTGCACATGTAAGGGGTCATTCTCTTCTTCGGCCTCCCAACCACGAATAGAAGCCATTCCTTGGGTCTCGGAATTCCCTTTACTGTGTGATCGATAGACCCCACGATGTTCCGCTCGGGGCATATTGGCATTTTCATTGGTCCCCAAGCTACTCGGTGTACAACGTAGTGGAACGGAGAAATTGATTGGTTGATTCTCACTCGGCACTGCGGTTGCACCATTCTGTGCTCCGTATGAATGTGAAAAGTTTGGATCTGTTTGTCTGATCGAATATGCATAACCCGAACTATCTCGTCGTACTATGGGAACTGGTAGACGGGGATAGAAAGACTGCGTAGTATTGGATGTCGGACTTCTTGTGGAGTCATTACTCAGGTGTATGGAACACAAATTGGACGGCTGATAGACTTGTTGCGCGACAGCAGAGTGCGAGTTCTGAATTGGGGAATATCCATAACTGGATGGAGAGCTGGGCGAACAGTTTCTCGAGTGTGACGATGAGGAACTACGAAATCGTGATGAATCGCAAAATTGTATNNNNTTGATTTAGTGCATAATGAGACGGCCTGGTTAGGGTAGTCTTTGTCTGGTATCCTTGAGTTCGTGAACTTGTTCGAGGTGGTATTGGTGGTGGAGCAGGTACATTCAGCTCGGAAGGGACATGTTCGTTGTATTCAGTCGACTCCGTCTCATCCTCGACTCTGCCTAAACCGTGATTTGGCAGGGGGGTAATCTGATTGAAATTTCTGGGATAATTTCTGTGCAATACACTTCCATTTTGCTGACTGGACGGGGTCCATTCAGTTTTTATGGTGCCACGTCTCCTGGGTGAGTTCAAATTGGTGTTGGTCGTGGTGACAGTGGTGGTAGTAGTGGCGGTAGTAGTACTGATCGTGGGGCTAGAAGCATTTGAGGACTGGATCACAAAAGCAACAGTTCGCAGTTTTCGATTTCCCCCAGAGGAGTAATCCGGCGAATTTGGTGATGACTTAGATAAAACAGTCACTTGTGAAGTTTGCGGAGAACGTCTGGAAGTCAGCATCACCTTTGAGACAGAATCGGGTTTAGTCACATTTGTGTTCGGTTCACGCCGATAGCGAGGAGATACCATCGGTCTTGTGCACGATACATTGGGGGACTGGGGGACATCAACTGGGGCGATGTTGGCCCTCGTTGGTTTACCAACGGATGATACTCTGGTAGCAGAACACGTGCTCGGTTCATTGTGCGAGCTCCCGGTTTCTTTCTGGATTCGAACAGTGGATTTTGGGGATCGCTCATAGATTTCCACTGTGCTGTTACTTGTTCTGGATCTGGTCGTTCGATATGGACTATTGGACAAACTTTTTGCTTCTTGATTGTTTTTGTAACTGTAGCTATTTCTGTTGTTACAGGCTTTTGTTTCTGTAACGTGCACTGAAACGGGAACTCGTTTAGTTAACCAACTGGGACGTTCGGAACTCTTAGGTATTGATGTTTGCGAAGAGGTTTCGTTCACCTCACTCCCACTGGTACTCTCTGTTGTACTGGAAGTAGTGATGGTGCTGGTCGCAGGCATTGTTTTCCCCGATCCCGAGTCAGGTACTTCCGGTAGACAGGACATCGCATAGGTTCGCGACTCGTCCGGGTGAATGAGATTGGAACCTATCAGTTCCGGATTGGTTGATAACGAGTTTGATTTGGATCGATCAAGTTGGTGGGTTTTTTGTTCTTGCCTCTGGACACGTGGCTGAGATTTTGTTGATTGCGATCGAGCCATATCATCCTCGGCCGAGCCAGGAGGTAATGTAGGTTCAGGGGAGATATTCTGTGCAAATGCGGGGAGAAAAAAGGAATAAAAAATATGAACGGTTGAGGTGACAAAATTGGATTTATCTAGGAATTTCATTTAACCAATGCATACAACTACCACTAGACGGAACCTGATGGCCGACTTCATGAAGTATTTCCACAATACTTTTATCTGAATGCACTCTGGAATTCGGAAATCTAATTTTCCCTCCGTCTAGAGCACATTGACGAAGCACGGGCAATTCCTACTTGCTAAAGCATGATCTCGGTCTCGACTAACTTCACTACTAACTCCGAGCCCCACTTACTCATTTAGAGAACGGAACCAACTAAGAGTGAACACAGGTATCAAGTAGTATGTAGCATTTAAAGACGGGACGAAAATTCATGGTTATACACACCCGGTAAAATACTTGAAATCAAGACTCCAAAAAACCTATGATACTAACGAGCTTGTTCGCTACTCTGTTCTTCTTACAATGTGTATTAACGGTATTCCAAGTGAGTAATGGAGGATTTGGTATATTCAGAAAATAATGTATATTATTGACGTATAGAATCTAACTACTTGTGAGTAGTACAATAATAATCGAACAGTCACTGCACCGGTTTGTGTTTTCCAATCTTGTTCTACCTTGCTAGTGAAAGTGAAATCACATGGAATAGGTCGAACTTAGCAAATAAGATTATTCAGCTGAAAGCCATAGCCTGTTTGTTGGCCACTCCGAATGAACACATTCATGCATCTCATCCTGCATTCGACGGTACACATCTGGGCATTTTCACCTACAGTCAAGTACTCTTGTCTGCATATATTTTTCACGCCAAAATTCAAGTTGTTCTGAACAAGCGGTTTAAAAAGACGTTAGTAACATGAGCGTGAAAATGTCAGTACAATGAGAAACCCATTCGTTATATATCCACGGGTGTTGGCGGAAACAATATGAGACAAACAGTTAGTGCGTGTTAAACGCTAAATATAAATCACAGTTTTGAAAACGTTTTCATATGGGGCCAAATGAATTTGATATGAACACATTCAGGATCCGCATTATTGATGTCAGAAGATTGGTCTCATGCTACAATGCCACTCTCACAGTTCACATTCTTTGAGGCATTAGTGTGGTAATTTGCCAATGAAGTTTCACATGCATCAATCCTTTGGGTTATCTAACACAACTGTTCATCCGATAAGAATGGTAACCCTGGTCAAATGGTCTCCATGGAGTTCTCCGTCAGATATCGAGAGACTCCTAACCATAGAGGTTTTCAATTTTGTGCTGATAACTGTCCATCAGTGCACATGCCTGGTATAATTTTGTGAAAAATGTTTCGCTTGCCAGCTTCATACATCAACCGCGACATACTGTAACGTGTTTCACACCTACAGGTAGCAACGTGTTTTATCAAAAAAGAGTTCGGAACCTCGCTATCATTTTCGTTGTGGACGGTTGCGCTTTGTTTGTGGGACTAGGCGTTTTATCTCTATCGTGGCTTGGAGAATAGAAAAACCTTGCTCTTTAGTTACCAAGGCACATCAGGCGGTGGTGGCCGAGTGGTTAAGTCACCAACCTGTTACTCGGGAGTCCCGAGTTCGAACCGCTCCACCACCGCCCGTCTACTCAGGCAGCTTCTGTATGGCTGTGGTCCACCTTCTTGAATATTGACTGTACATTTGTATGTTCAATAAATAAAAGAGAAAATGAAAAGACGTTCTTTTCAGGGAGCGCCATGCTGAACCGCATTCGTTTATCGATAATCAATCAAGTGAAGCGGCCACTTTAATTTGCCCCATGGGGGATAAACACGGAGTTATTCACTCTTCTGTGGAAATAGTATGGTAGTAACAAAGAGAATGATGATAAGCTATATATACAAACAAATTATTTAAATGCAGCAAAGTTGGAGTTTGGGGAGTTCAATGACAAGATGAGCGTTAGTAAGAAGCTATACAAGGTATGTTATTATGGAAGAGTTGTATGCTGCGATGCTTGCTGCTATATGCTTAAAATTGAAGATGTAGAGTTACATTTACTAAGGTGAGAGTACAGTGGGCGCAGTTGGTCTAGTGGTATTCTAGTAGGAAGTTTACGGCAAGCCCCAAAGTGCTGTGAAATTATAAGCTGCACAATGTGCTCGCAAGATATATCACTGTATCAACATACAGGTTTTGTGGATGTACACATGAGTTTGAAGTTTTGCTCAAAAACACTGAAAATTATCTGGGGATATATAAAGCCTGTGGGGAAGGGTACAAGAGAGGACCAAAACGTCTTATTAAGTGAGGTAAATGTCTCGAAGACATGACGAGGCCAAGAAAAATTGCGGGAAATGGTGACTCCAAGGTACTTGACGGAACATGCTCTGAAAACTTGTTTTCCATTGATAATGACATACTGCTAAGAGTTTATCACATTATTGAATGTGTTGTCCTTCAGCAAAGAAAATAGGACATCGTTACACTGGGAAGGA